ATATATATATATATATATATATATATATATATATATATATATATATATTGCGCTTGGTTGATGTTGATGAGGTCTAGCAGTAGTCAAAAGGATCTGCACATTAATTTCACCGATCTGCTAAAGATACATTTGCCGGACACACAGTTCACATGGCTACGCAGTAGCCATTTAAATGCTTGTCTGTTGTTGGCTAGTCTATTTTTCGTGCATGTATGATGAGCTGTTTGATATGTATGATTCAGTCATCTCTATGCATTATGCTCCTAATTCAGTTGACAAGTGACAGTGGTGGTACAATCAGCAGAGAAGAACCAAACCCAGCCAGCAATATATATATATATATATATATATTAGCTCCGGTGCCATCTTGGTAAAAGTTCAGCTGAATGATTTGAACTGGTAGTGCAGGAGCTACAGTAATTAAGTAGTTACTACAAATTCACATGATCTTCCTATTTCTTCTTCTCGACATGGAGTGAAGAGGATGATTGATGTGCATCACCAGTCTATAGAGCAGCGTGGTGACGAAAAAGAGTGCCGCGACGAGCCATTACGGAGACCATGGACACCACCATTGGCAGAGGCATCGACGACGGCTCTGCCCATCTCTTGAGTGGCCCGGGCCAGCATTTTTTCCTTCTCAAGATGCCGGCGGTAGCTCTCGAACACCCGAGAGCTCACCACCAGGCCAAAGTCCAGCAGGAAGAGGAGCTCCAACTCCATCCGGTTCAGCTCTGCGTTGCTCACGCCGCCCACCTTCGCGAAGAATGCGTTGTTGTGGTGCCTGCACACACCACAACCACCACCACCACCGTCATGAACAGAGAGCATTCAAACAACAAGGGATAGAGACATGGACCTCGGCCACCTGTTTCCATGAAGTAGCAGAGGGCTGAAGTCCCACAAAGTAGTATTCACAACATGTTCCCTCTCTCAAGTCCTTTCATGTCTATGCATATTAAAAATTCAATGTGTGTGTGAGAGAGAGAGAGAGAGAGAGAGAGAGAGAGAGAGATTGATCTCCCAACCCCTCTCCTTGTTGAATTTAGTGACTCGAAGGGAAACGAAGGAAATTGACAATATGTTGAAACCCTTTTTAATCCTATTATCAAAATTGCAAAATTAAAAAAAAAGTGAAGTGTTTTTTATTATTATTGTATTATGTTTCTATTCCCACCATATTTATTCTAATACTAGTAGTTTGATTGCGCTACGATAGCTAAAACGAATCAGAGAAATAATTGAGGTCACGAATCAAGAGCGAACAAGCAAGAGGACGGAGAGAAGAAATCAGGGGGCATACTTGTCGTCGAGGACCTTGGAGGCGATAAGGAGGCTGGTGAGGACGAGGCGGTGGACGTTGAGGGAGACGACGGGGGAGGCCGGGTGGCGGTGGGCGACCCGGTCGATGTACACAAAGCCCACCACGAAGCACGAGGAGCTGCATCCCGTGTACCGCCACAGCCGCTCCAGGTACTTCCCCACGCTGATGCCCGGCGACCGCGTCCCCCGGAACGCCGCCAGCCCCCTCCCCCGCATCCGCTCTGCGCCTAACGCCGCCGTCTCCCCCTCCTCCTCCTCATCCTCCTCCTCCTCCTCCGCGTCTGTCCGTGTCACCCGCTCGTTCCGCGCCACCATCCGCTCCAGCGCGTGCACGATCCCGTCCAGCACCCGCGCCGCCGCCTCCGCGTCGCCCGTGTCGCCACCTGCGACGTCCTCCATCGTTGAAGAAGGCATCTCCTGTTCTCGTTACCTCAAGAAGGCAACATCCTGACTCCTCTACCGGACGTGCAAGTTGTGCAACGCAACCAGAAGAGGTCGTCAGCGTCATCCAGATAAGTGCGCGATGACGAACGAGTGGATCGAATCAGTTAAATCCCAGCCAAGATTTCTCATTTTCTTTTCTTTGCTTTTTTTTTTATTTTTATTTTACAGCGAGTTATGGATAAGACGGGGAGTGGGAGGCGGAGGAATGCAACTCACGTACCTTTCATGCAGCAAGTACAATTGATATATGTGCATCAATCAGTGTCTTTGTCGATGTTGACCGCTTGCCGACGCACCGAGAAGTTGGATTTAGAGCAGGCCGATGCAATAGGGAGCCAAGGAACAGTTCTCCAAAAGACGCCATGTGCTCGGTCGCCATCACAAACAAGCCTTGCAATCTCGACCTTGAGTTGCACAGAATCCTGACAAAAGGTTTGGACTACGGAGACCGGTAGACAAAAGGTCGCCATTCAGCACCAGTAATTGTTATCTTTGGCATCCTTGATAGGAGGTTCTGAGTCTTCATGATTTCATAACCTGAAAGCAGAGAAAGAGCCAACGGATATCAGAGGCTCCAAAATGTTTTAAGAACAATACAATCTAATGGATGTATTCAACATTCACATTCTAGTACAAACCACATAGAACAATAAACGAGAGAAGGATGCAGGAGGCAAACACGGTCGAATGAAAGGTAGGGTAGAGAGTCGAAAAGGAACTGACTCGATTGCCGGCGAAGGCAGCGAAGACGAAGTTGAAGACGACGTAGAGGAAGTGCTTCCCTCGTGCACGCGATTGAAGACCTTGTGCTCGCTCTTCCTCGACGCCGTCAGCGACCGGGTCGCACCCCAGCCCGCTCTTCGCCGCCCCGCCCCCGTCTTCTCTCTTTTAGGTCTGAGGAATAGGGAGGCCAAGAAAACTCCCTTGCTTGTGCGGGCGGATCTAATTAAACCATGACGCGGCCCAATTCTCAAGAATAATTGAACCGACTTCCGTTGATTGTGAATAGGTGAAGATTAAATCCAAGAAATATTCGAATATTTGAAGGGATACATACACGAGCAAAAAAGAGACACAACGACCCATTATTGGGTAGCGTTGTTGGGCCCACGAACGATCCAATGGCAGGCTGTCCTCTTCGTGACAAGGATTCGGACGGATCATCGACGCCACGCTGGACTCGATAAACCCAATTAGTGACCCAATCCCACAACTCGGCCGACTCAGTCCCAACCCCTTCGTTGGGGGGTTGTTTAGTCTTCCATGATTCCTTTTGCCAGCAAACGAGGCCGCATGACCACGCGAGTAGCATTCGATTGCCGACAGATTGGGATTCCAGCCCATCTTGCGTTACACCTGTTTGTGAATTTGCCTGTGCCCCCAATTATTATTAAGTGGTGGGGTCCCGCTGCGGTATGACCTGCAGCCACAACCCTTGGCTTATCTTATTAAGCAGCAAAGCAAGCGCATTGTGGGGTTTGTCCCCCAATTATGTACCAGCAGACACGTGCTCATCTCTTCTCTCTCCATCAATTTATGCATATAAATTAATTTTCTTCCCTAAAAAAAAAATTAAATATAGCGTAATTAGATTTTTTTTGAAATAATTAAATATATATATTTATTCTAATTATTGAAAATTTAATTATATATTAAGATAGATATTCTAATCCGAGACAGAACATCGCCTTCAAGGAAACCTGCTGTGTCTCCGTCTCTTCTTTTTCCTCTGTGTTATGTTTCAAGCACGTTCCGTGCATGAACGCAGCTGTCATATGCTCACCACCTTCCCTCCGACCTCATCGCCTCCGTTTCCTCGAAGGAACTGCCCGTTCCCATCCGTGCCCATGCTTTATTAAGCCTCCCCCTCCGTCTCCATCTGCCATCACAAACAACCACTCATGGCGCGGGGGCAGCAGCGGCGGCCGATGGAGTTCGAGGACTTCCTCCCCGTCATGGCGGAGAAGCTCGGGGGGGACGGCCTCGTGGAGGAACTCTGCAACGGGTTCCGCCTCCTGATGGACCCCCGTCACCGGCTCATCACCTTCGACAGCCTCAAGCGTAACGCTGCCCTGCTAGGCCTCGACGGCCTCCGCGACGATGAGCTCCGGGCCATGATCCGGGAGGGCGACGCCGACGGCGACGGCGCGCTCAGCCAGTGGGAGTTCTGCGTCCTCATGGTCCGCCTCAGCCCCCAGCTGATGGAGGCACCCAGCCAGTGGATGGACCAGCACTCCGCATTCATGAGCTAACTCCGATTCCACCTCTTCCTCCTCCGACTTCTTCGCCATTCTCACTTCTAGAGTCTGTAGTCTTCCTATCCAATAAATCACTGTGGATTGGGTAGTGACGGGATCGACCACCATGAGTGGGCTGCTTTGGATCGATCGGATTATGATGTTCATATAATAATTCAAAGCAAATTGCTCTGCTTACTGCTAGAGATCTGATCTTTAGCACACCTTGTTTGGTGAATTGTTGATATGCAAGCTCGATATATGCCAAAATCGCCTACAGAATGAGCTGAATCGAAGTCAGTCAGAACTGATCAGTTGTAATCTGATTCAAGCCTCCTACTTCACTGAAATATTAGAACAAATCGAAAGTTCCAAAAACACTCTGCTGTCGAATGTATCTCGACATAAATTTTCTGATTCGAATGATAGGGTTAAAATTCTATCATCCAGTAATCGAAGTGATGATGGAATTACTCCAACGAAGGGGATAAAATTCTATCTTGCAGTGAGCAAAGTGATGGAGTTACTGGCGGAAGCAACTCTGAGACCAAACGTGGATGATTCTGTATCGCTGGGGTTCCTTTCTGCTGAAAACGTGGGCTGTTTCGGCTGTGGATAAGCAGCAGTCCCACCCTCCAACATTATTACCACCGACGACATCGTCGGTCGATCATTTGGCCGGTCCTGCACGCACAAGAGCCCCACGTTGACGCACCTCGATACCTGCCTCGGTGAGCATGAATCCCTTATCGCTGGATCCACAAACTCCATCACGTTGTCCTCGTTCCACAGCTTCCATGCCTGCAGAAGGATTCCTTATGTGAGCAGAGCAAGACGAGATGAAAGATCAACGATAGCTTTACTCACGCTGCCTAGGAGGTTAAGTGACGAGTCTTGATGCGCGAAACTGCTGTTCTTTCGTCCGCTCACAATCTCTAGAAGCAGCACGCCGAAGCTATAAACGTCGGATTTCACAGAGAAGACTCCTTGCATTGCGTACTCCGGAGACATATAGCCACTGTGTTTCCGCCACCAAAACACAGATGAAAGGTGTCAAAAGCGTTGGATCTCTGCAACAGCTGCATAGCTTTTTGGTGTTAATCAATGCAGTACTTACTATGTTCCCACCACCCTTTTCGTGTTCGTTTCGTTGTCGTCACTGCCGAAGATCCTCGCCATGCCGAAATCTGAGATCTTGGGATTCATGTCCTTGTCCAGCAATATGTTGCTGGCCTTCAGATCCCGGTGTATGATCCGTAGTCTCGAGTCCCTGTGAAGGTAGAGGAGGCCTCGGGCGATCCCTTCGATGATGTCGTACCTCGTCTTCCACCCCAGCAATCCCTTCTTTCTCGGATCTGTCCGAATTATGCGTAAGATCAAGGTTGAATTGGAGGACGAACCAACGGATCACAAAGGCGGCAGAGGAAAGCAGTAAGTAGCGTTACCAAAAAGGAAGGCATTCAAGCTTCTATTGGGCATGTATTCGTAGACGAGTATCCTCTCTTCTCCATGAATGCAACAACCCAAGAGCCTCACGAGGTTCCTGTGTTGTAGCTTTGCCATTAGGATGACCTCATTCTTGAATTCGGTCTCGCCTTGTCCCGAGCTCCTTGACAGTCTCTTTAGAGCAACTTCTTGGCCTCCAGGTAGCGTACCCTGTAGCAAACAGAGGAATCAAATTGGCACTGTGTTCCACCTTCTCTAACCTTGCTTCTTAGTGACTAATGGTGATGATCTGAGCATACCTTGTAAACAGGACCGAATCCACCTTCACCGAGCAGATTGGCGAGTGCAAAGTTGGATGTGGAAGCAACGATCGAATCGAAACTAAACAGAGGCAGCTCTTGGCATTTTTGGTCCTTCGATTCATCTGGAATGCGAAACGACACTCCACCTTCTGCTCGATCTCCATCTCTGTTGGGTTCGACCGACACGATTCCTCCGCCTCCTCTCCGTCGATAGAACGCTGCAGAGTTTGTTCCAAGGGGGTTTTAGCAGAGAATTAAGCAAATGGAAAAGCGCCACAGTCTGCTGCTGCATACCATCACGAGCTGTACCTCTGATTCTTTTCTTGCACTTGAAGAACAGGTAGATGCATCCCAGTGATAAGACCACTGCTAAAACAACTATGAGTATCACGAAGCTCTTCTTCTTCTTGGTCTCTGCATGGAACTTGAGCCGATTAGGACATCTAATGGGCAAATGCTAATCCAAAAGAAGAGGAGAAGATGCACTCACGGATCTCCGACGCAGCAAGGCGGAGGTACATGTCATTGCCGCCGCTGGAAAAGATGTGTATGTCAACCAAATCCACACCCCACACCAGGCATCCGATCCCGGTCACGTACGCGTAGGCTTGGCAAGAGCAATTACCCAAACACGCGGCTCGGCATCCGTCTTCGTCGACGACGCCCGAGGCCCAGTCCGACAAGTCCGGCAGCTTCACCCCTTCCATCTTCCAGAACCCGTCGGTCTGTACGCTCCCAGCTCCGCCGCTGCTGTTCCTCTCGCACTGCAATGGCGTTCTCCTCACGCACCCACTGGTCCAGTTCCCGCTGCTCCACTCCGCCTCCACCGCCGGCACGTATCCCTTTAAGCAAGAGCATATCGGGGTGTTCTCGTCGGTGCAGCTCCCGTAGTTGCCGCATTTGTTGTAGAGCTCGCAGTCCGTGATGGGTTGCGCCCAGAACGTAGACCAGAACTTGGTGTCGTCCTTCCATGTCAAATGCTTTTCGATCCCCTCCCATGTGAGCACGTAGCGGTGCGAGCTGTTGAAGGCGTTGTAGTAGAAGTACATCTTCTTCTCCAGCTCGAAGTTGCTCAGCTTGAACCCGTAGATGTAGGTGGGCACCATGTTCTGGATCCCGATGAAGACCTGCCCGTTCCACCGCCCGGACCTCCACCGCGGCTTCGTCCCCTCCCACACGAAGATCTGAGTCGACCGGTTGGGGTCGACGCCCATGGAGTAGTTCCCCGGCGCCGGGTCGTCGCTGCTCTTCCACGACGTGATGTACTGGTTCACGTTGGTGGTGAGGTCGAGGCCGACCTTCATGCCGGGCAGGTACGTGTCGGTGGGGTTCTCGAAGCTCTGCCATGCGACGCGGCCGGTGTTGTTGAGCACGAGGTTGCCATCGTCCAGCAGCTGCACCGTCGACGCGTTCGACGACAAGGACACGTTCGAGGACCACAAGACGCTCCGGCTGCCGTTCAGGACCACGAGGTTGCCGTCGCCGCCGACGGCAAGGCGGCCTGAGGTGTCGTGAACGGGCGCCTCGCGGTTGGCCACCCAGAGGACGGTGTCGGTGGAGAAGTTGTAGTACCAAATCCCGATGTACCGGTACTTGGAGCTGCCGGGGCTGAAGAAGCCAAGCTCGAAGATCTCGCCGGCGGAGATCAGCGTCTCGCCGTCTTCGATGTACCCGTCTAGTTCGAGGGTGTCCTTGGCATACGAGAGAGACGCCGGTGAGACGAGCAGAAGCGAGAGCAGCAGGACTGCGAAACCCATGCACTGAGATCCCATCCTGAGGAACTGAACATGAATCGATCGATTAATCCGGCCGAAGAAGGAGCCTCCAAAATAATAACAGGTCGACGCGTTCGATCGCCCGGAGCGGCACGTCAAAAGTCTCACATTTGCAGTTGGACCAACTGCCGCCTTCCTTTGTTTACTTGTGAGGGAAGAAGGTGCAGGCGGTCAAACAGGTGGTGCGATTGGGCACGGCAGCCGTCGGGTTTGACGGCGCTCAGATTACCCGAAGCATTCAGGCAGCAGAAGAACAGGCGGCCAAGGCCAGTGGAGTTGCAATCCCGTCGACCAACATCGATGGGCGATGACTGTTGACCACATGGAAAGTCAACTCGGTGCCTTACTTCTCGTGGCAAAGATCAGTGTCTTAGGTCAAAACAACGACGGGTTCGTCCAACACACGTGTGAGAAGAGAGACCGAAGCGGGTCAAGGCTTCACGAAGGTCACAGTGACCTTCGAGAAACCCACCTTTCACATATTCTCCCCGTTGACGTGGATTTAGGAGACGTGAGTTACCGATATGCTTCTCTGACAATTCTAATTCTAACAAAAGTCGAAGGCAGATGGACGCGAGGTTGACAGATTCTGATGTTGGTACGACGGCCTTCCTCGTGTTCTTCGTTCTTCCTGCGTCACGACAACCAGAAGCTCAATACGTTGAAATACCAAGAACACATATCTTTCTTTGTTCTTTGTTGAAGAATACTACAAAGAGGAGGGGACGTGAGTTACCGATTTGTTTCTCGGACAATTTTAATTCTAACAAAAGTAGAGTGCAGATGGACGCGAGGTTGACAGATTCTGAATCCTCGTGTTCTTCGTTCTTCCTGCGTCACGACAACCAGAAGCTCAGATGTTGAAATGCCAAGAACACTTTGTCTTTCTTTGTTCTTTGTTGAAGAATACTACAAAGAGGAGGAGGAGGAAATCGAGTTCCGAAAGAGAGAGTCCATGACGCAACCGAGTCCAATGGAAATCGGGGACGGTCGTCAAACCTACTAGACTTCTAAACATGTTAAAAAAAACTTTAAAAAAATAAGAATCCATGTAGTTAATAAGTACAACTTAATCAGTTTTCTGGCCAATGATCCATAAGTAATATGGATAACACATCCTTTTTTTTTTCTAAAGTATATAATAAATGTATTATATAATAATAATACGATTAAATCGATCTAAAGTTAACTGCTTTAATTGACCCACAATACTCTTTACATTAAATCGGTCTAAAATATTTATTTCAATAATAATACGATCAAATAGATTTAAAACGCTCGTTGCGATGATATTATGATCAAATCAGTCTAAAAGAGATCCTTTCAATAATAATACATTTGAATCAGCCAAAAATATTTCTTACAATATCAATATGATTGAATCAGCCCAAATTACTCCTTGCGACGATAGCACAATAAAAGTGACCTAAAATGCTCCTTTCGACAATAATGTAATTGAATTTACTTAAAGCACTCCTTATGATATCAACATGACTAAATCAATACAAAGCACTCTTTTCAATGATAGTGTGGCTGAATCAACCCAAAATATTATTTACAATGATAATGTTGCCAAATCGACCCAAAGTACTTATTTTAATGATCGCATATTCAAATCGACCCAAATCAGCCCAAATTGCTCATTTCGACAATCGAGCGATAGAATCGAACCAATGCATTGCTTTCAATAATATTGCAA